ATATGTGAAGTATTAGTTGCTTTGGTGTTTTTTTTTTTCTTTTTTTTTTAACTGTAGAACTGTGATACAGGAGCCACCATGTACTTAAAACTTGCATTTCTATTTCAATCAGAACTTAGAAAAGTAATTTAGATTATATTTTCTGAGTATACACATGCGAAATTTGCAAATGAAAATAGATTATTAGACACACAGAATCAGAGTTTAAAACAGACTCTAACTATTGAAACTAGTATTAAAATATATATGTATAATTAAATAGATGCTTTTATTCAAAGGTTAAGGATTTTTATTTTAGTTCCTGGCCAGATGGTACTGTTAGTAAGCATATATCTACCTAAGTTCCCTAAGTTGCAATTTATGAAGTATTTAGTCTCTGTCCTTTTGATCCACATATGCCAATGCTAAGGTATCTGGATATCCTAGAAATGCCTAGAGAAATACTGACAGGGAATCTCTATAAAAGCCAAAAACTGAAGTCATTGGAATGTGGCAGCTGTTTCTGTGCTCTCTCCTAACAGTTGTTGTATTTCAGCGTTGTTTGTATCTATGGCAGAGTGCAATAACACATATATTTACACCAATAACATACTCCACAATGTTTCCTTTGTAGTATGCAAATTCAATTGCTTATGAAAGACAGTATTACACTTGAAATATTAAGTTTCTTCCAGGGTATTCAAACAAAGCTTAAAAGCGTTTTCCTTTTTGGAAAAAAAATAATCAAAATTATCTCATGAGATTGACTTTAGTTCCACTTCTAATCAAAGCTATTGCTTGTATTTTGTAATAAAATGAGTTGTTTAGTCGTAAATTGTTTGCTTGTAAAATAAGTTGTTTCACCTCTAGTCTTTGTCATCGACAAAATGGGCAAGTTTAAATATCTGTAAATTTATTTTTTTCCTATGCAAACCCATTTATTTTTGCAATTCTCCCTCCTTCTGGAGTTACAAATGGATTATCAATGTGCCATCACAAAGAAAATGTAAAGCAGCCGCTGTGAAAGATTAAGTTTTATGTGTTCCTGAGCACTTAAGTCATAAATGTAGTTCTGGTGCAGTCTGTAATAGCAATTACCTCCATATCGCTGTGCTATTAGAAGAGCAGAGCCATAATAATGTAATGCACTAATTGCTCCATTTAATAGTAAAGCTTAAGGTTGTTGGTTTCTCTGTTGCTTAGGGAGTCACTGTTCTGTGTGTAGATGCCAGTTCTATAGTTTAAATTCAATCCATGCTGTTCTGAACCTTCTTGCCTTTGTGTTTTCCTAAGAGCAAGGAGATTTTTATTATCTGATTAAAGAAAAATATTTATGCAGTGTGGAAAGAATCCGAAAATAACTTTTTTTGTGCATAACTAACTTCCATGATGATTTCATTGTTTGTGTTTAGTCTTTAGTTGTCCAGAGTTACAAAAAAGAACTAGACAGAAGTGTAATGGTGTCCATACTTTGTGAACCGATATTAATTCTTTTAGAAGAGAAAAACTGAGTAATTATTGGAAATACATGAAGAGAAAATAGAAGCATAAACTGCCACTGGGATTCTATGTACAACATGAGGCTGCACTGCCAGCGTTGCAGACTGTGATTGAGCTGAATAAATACATTGGGATTTCAAATCTATTTAAATTGTTTGTAATTGAGAAATTGTTTGATAATGTAAACATGAAGTAGGTAGTTTCATACACCTTCCCTTAAAACTTATCTCCAAGTGTAGTAAGAGGTTGTCACGAAATCAGGCTGCCAGTGCAGAAATTTGATTCTGGAGGTAAAGTATGGAACATTGGTTGCCACTTTTTTAGAGACTGTCCTAACAATTTCCTATTTCCAGCAATATTATTTTTTTCATTTTTTTTTTTTTTAATAAACTGTTCACTGGAACAGCATTAACTTGGAGTAGTGAAAAGTGACCTCACTAGAACATTGAAGGTACTTTTGCTCAAGAGATGAAAACTTAAGGTGTAAATCCCACTGGGTAGGAAATGAACCTTTTTCTCCTACATCTTGGATCATTACTCTAACTACTCCTATACTATATAAAGAAAGTATTTTCTTTTATCGTGTTTAGAAGTATGAACCCTTCCCATTATTTGAAGAGAACTGTTAGAGTATCACTTTGAGATGGCCATGGGGCTTCTGTTCAGGCTTGAGTGCAGAATTGGGCATTGTGGGGTGGGGGATGAAGATGAATTGTAAATAAGCTGCTTTTCAATGCCTACAGTTTTGCAGCTGAGTTTTTATGGTTTTGTTTTTTTTTTTTTTCTGCAGGGGGAATTTTTCAGTTCCTTGATGTTCTCTTATTCTTTAGAAAGTATTGTAGAGTTGGAACTGAGTTGTCAAGATTTTCAGGGTTATTCTCATAGTCTTTTTAGTTGATGAAAATAATTAAGATGTCCTTAATGCACTTAATAAATCAGATGAAGAAATGGGAGAGCAGTCACCTTTAAAACACGCTGTAGATGTGCAGTTCTCTTAGATTTTCCTCTGTCAAAATTTAAATTTGAGATAGTTGGATTCTCATCTTTTATAATTTTCAGAACTGCTTTATTAACTTACTTCTGTCATGAATTGAATTGAGCTTTGTTAACTTGATTCTGCACCAGTTCTGCCCTAGTGTTTAAGTTGTTTCAAATCAGATGTGACTGGCAAGCTCAAACTTCAGACTACCCTCTACTGTTAGAGAGGTTTTTAATATGATGTTAACTATGTGTCTGAGGAGCAAAAAACATTCATAAAAAGACTTGCATGACTAACAGGATGAGCTAGGACTCTATGTTTGTCCCATTTTTGCTCCAGTCACATTTTGGTAAATTTGATCAGAGTTAGATTTTTAAAAACAAATCCACGTGTAAGTATTTTACTGGTATGACAATGGTGATTAGAAATGTGCTGGGTCTTTTTTTTCTCCCCAATAAAATGATACTGGGAAAGCTTCTAGTAATAGAGGTGTACTGTTGCAGCACTGAGAGGTTTTCTATGGAATGTCTTGGTCCTCTCTGATGCCAGTAATGCACTATTGACAGCAGGTTGTACATGAGAAGTGTTGAGGCCTGACCTGTTGGAGTGTGGACCCTGCAGTGCAAAGCTCAGTTGGGGTTTTTCTCTGCCAGCCTCAGCTGGGTTGCTTGAAATCTGGTGCTTTCCTGTGGTGTGTTTCATCACATAACAAATTTGTGTGACTGGCTGCTCACTCTGAGAGCCACTTCTGTGTCATCTGGTAACCATTTGATCTACACTAGAGGGGAGTATGAACCTTTTTCTTTTTCTTATCTCATTTCTAATGTGCTTATTCTTGAAGTAGAAGCCCTAGTAACAGAGAGAAATCCCCCAGTATTTCTCCCTGTACTTTTCAGTGACTAAAAATTCTACTAATCACTTTGGAATGAATGGTATTGTTCCTTCATCTGCTTAGGAAGTGGTTCTGTTAAAAGCAGTATGTTCTTCCATGTGCTTTGTGTTGTACTTGGTTACATGCAGAGACAATGGTAAATACAATGACTACCATGTCTTCCTTCCCCTTACTATCTGTGTAATATCTTATGAGTGCATAACATTTTATGGAGGAAAGTATTTTATTCTTTGCCCCATGGAGTTAGCCGTCATTATTAGACTTTATACAACACACAGAATGCTGTAATATTGATAAATAATGTTGTAATTCATACTGATTCACTGTTTGGCACTTTCTTCTTGGAACAGTCCACTGAAGTCTGGAAATTTGGGTACTTAGGGATGTTTAAAACAAGGTTGAAGATGACAGGCAGGAATGAATTCTATTTGGTCCTTTACCAAAACCCACCAAGAATCCTTTGGCTAACCACCAGGATTTTGTATCAATCTGCTTTGTTACTAACTCTGATTCTGCAGTTTTTATATGCATGTTCTCTATCCACTTCTCCACTCCTCTGTATGAGGGAGAGTGTGCTGACCAAATAGGTATTTCTTTTTTCTTCATGTCCAAATTGGTAGCTTTGCCACTGGTTTAAAATAAGGTGTCTCTCTCTGTATATAAATAAAGCCCTGCTTTTAGTTGGATTAAATTGGAGAGGTCTCTTCTCTCTTTAACTTGTTTTAAACTTTGGATTTAATCCCTATCTTTGTGTGTATAGAAGATTTTTTTTTAATGAAAAAACTGTAACCCCCTGCCTGATATGAAAGGTTTCCTGAAGGTTAACCCTACCTGTCTCCAAAATCTGTTATGACAAATTCTAGAAATGTTTTGCTTGCTCTGTAGAAAAGTACTTTCTTTCCTCCATTTTAAAGGTATTTGAAGTTTCAATCTGCAGGTGCTCCTTCTTTCTATTAATGTGGGATTTGAATTTTTGAAGTCTGTACAGTTCAAGCGGGAAATAATGAAGAAAGGACTAATTGTTCTAAAGAACTAATATTCCAGTCAGGAAAGAAACATGAAAGCACACCAGAACCATATTTGTACATGCTCCTGCAGATGACTAAAAAAATATGGTAGAATAGTTAATTTGACATGGAGATACAGCATTCATCTCAAATATGTGGTGAAAGGAAAGTGAATAGTAGCATTCTTAAATCAAGATAGCCAACGTAAGACAGTAATGAGTTGGGTTGCTCAGCTGGAGCTGTGGTAGTTTGTCTTAAAATGCTTATGAAAAGAGCTAAGCTCACTGTCATGGATGTTCCTTGAAAGTGTACGAATTGAAATCCTGTGGCTGATTTGAGAGTATGTAAATATTAGGGCACCATTACTGATCACTTGATAACACTGATGGCAATGCTTGTTGCTTTGGGTGTGGAAACTGGCTGTGAAGGCAGAGAACTCTGTGAAATAAAGCAACACTTCCATCAATGTCCTGTGGCCTTGATAAACGTCAGGATAGATCAGTGTTGCTGACAGGTTCTTGGAGCACCTAATCATCAAAGGGAGTACATGTTGATTTATTTTTAAGCAATTAAAATATAGCTTGCTGAAAACTTTTCAGATTATTTGACAAATGTTTTCGTATGTTTTTGTTTTGCCTTTCAGCTTGTGATGAATGGAAGATTTTACCAAAACCTAATCTGCATCGAGATGTCAACAGATTTGGTCACACTGCTGTTGTCAGTAATGGGTAAATGAAGTGTCTTTTAAATCTTCCTCACCATTTCTCTGAATGACAAAAACTTAAATCCTGTAGCAGAAATTATGCTTTTGTGGAGTATCTAATTTATTAAAGGGAAAAGTAGTGCTTGTCAGAGTCCTTACTTGTCTTAGGTAATCAGTCCAGCTAATCATCATCATAATCTGCCATGCTGTGGAATCTGTTCAATGGCATTTTAAGTTAACCTTCTAGTGTACTGAGGCATTTTCCCAGTATTGTGAGCCACAGTGAATTTGATATCTGGTACCAGCTGTAATCTTCATCTACCTCTGGTGGGAGAAATATTTTTCTCTTTGCAGCATGCTATAATTTCTTCTTCTTCTACAATCATAAAACAACCACGCAACTAAAATTTGCTTGGAAAAAGGCAATATTGGGATGATACAATCATCATCTTTAACCACTTGCAGGAGGAAAAGCCTGCCAGCATCTAGACAATATTAAGCATATTGCTTACCCTCTGGAAAATGTAGCATTCTTTCATATCATTTCGTGTTGAGTAGAGAAGCACAGTGAAGCTTCATCATCCAGAAACAGCAGCTAGAGTGGATCTGGAGGTTTCTGCATTTGGTGGCTGAGCTCTGCTGCTTTTACTCCAATCCCCAAAGATAAAATTGTAGGGCAAATGCCTCCTTTTTTTACTGGAAAACTTGTGGAAAACAGAGTTGGGGTTTAGAGGAATCTGCACTGGTTGCTTGTGTCAGTTTGACTTTTGCTGATTGCCAACCGGCCTGATATCTGATAGCTGCAGTGCTGTAGATCATTGTACCTCTTCTACATTATTCATCACACTAATAAACTCAGTATTAAGTATATGTGGGCCACTTACAGATCCTCTACCTAGGGATATTGTATAGGTCAGAAATAACAGAGGTGATGAGTAATGCTACAAATAAGAGTGTGACTGCATTTAACAAAAATAGCACTAGGTCGTAAGTCTGTACACAGACCACTTGACATTAATCAATTAACAGATTTATTCATTAAGAGAAAATTGCTTGGAATTAATGAATTCAACAACTGGCAGTTTTTCTTTCTGATTTGTACATTTCATGACATCTCAGCTGTGTCTTATACTTCAAGAATTGTCACTTTGAATGAATTACAATTAATGGTATTTTTGGTAGGCTTCTATGTACAAAAAAGTGCAATGCGAGATACTTTCCAGATTTCTGCCATTGGTAACTCTCTGATTAATTCTGTTTTAAGAGTATATGATAGAAGAGATACACAGTTTTTCTATTACTGTTTTTTACCTGAGACTGTTTGTAGTTTTAAATGAAAAGGTGAAGGACCCAAGGTTTTGCTTTTGATGTCAGCAGCCACTGCACCAGAAATATTACCAAAAAACCCCCAAATATCCATCTTGCCAATTGTTGCAGGCTGTCTTTGAAATCTTTGTGTGGAAAAATGGTCTTGTATTTCATGCTCTGTTCTCATTACTGAGCTGCAAAAAGGAAGAGTTTCCTCCAGAGCTCTTCATTGTTCTTTCCAGAAATGTGAGATGTGCCACTCCCTAATACAGAGAGAAAAGTGAACTTCCAGCAATTTTTTTTGTTAGTCTAAACTTCCATGGAGAAATAAATTGGAACTCTAATAATTAAAGAAACCACTGACAAAGTGTTTATTAGAGGAAAATGAAGAAAATTTTTTATAATGTTATGTGGGGGGTTTAATTATATACCAAAACAAATAAATCAATAAAATGTGTCTGCAGTAACAGTTATATTTACTTGATTTTTCCTAATAGGTCCATGTATATATTTGGGGGTTTTTCAAGTGTTCTGTTGAATGACATCCTCGTGTACAAACCTCCAAACTGTGAAGCATTCAGAGACGAAGAGCTGTGTAAAAATGCTCGTCCAGGAATAAGGTGCCTGTGGAACAAGAAACACTGTGAATCTTGGGAATCTGGACATGCTAATAACATCCTTAGAGCAAAATGTCCTAAGAAAACAGGTGAGTGAATTCCAGTATTTTAGTGTCAGATTTGCAACGTGATGGAGGAGATAGGGGGTGGTGGTGGACAACCCCCGGAATGTTAAAACTGTTCCTCTCTGGGAATACCCAGTGCAAGAGATTTATAGACAACTTTAAAAAAAAAACAAAACACATTCAGTTCTGGAATATTTTTGTATTTTAAATGCAGGGAAGTAGGTGCAAAAGAGCAAAAATTTAAAGTGCTAAGGGAAAGCATAACAGCAGTCAGGGCACAAATGGTCACTGCAGGTGATCCCTGGCATTACAGACATATGGAACTCTCCTACCTGTATGTGTCAATAAGTGAAAAGGAAAACAAGGCTGCTTCAAATAGATTGTCTATCAAACAGTAGCATTTGAACAGAATAAAATAGCACAGTCCCAGCTGGAAAAAAACAAGCCCTCTGCTGCAGAATGTCAGAATGGGTTCAAGTTTGTCATATGAATTTCTATCCTGTATTGTTTGAAAGAGCAATTTGGTGTTGTGAATAACTGTGCAACTTATTCCTAAAGCATTTTGGCTTGTCACAAATAAATTGCTTGTGAAAGCATTGTTCTTACGTGCCACATGAACAGAATATTTATCCCTGCTACATGAACCTACTATTTTTTTTCTGGGCATCTTTCATTTCGGCACAGTGTAAAATTGCTTCCCAAACTTTGGCTGCGTGCTGTATGTACAAACTGCCATGCAATTAAACTGACAGTCTATGTTTAATGCTTATTGAAAAGTTATTAGCACTGCTATTAATCAGCACTTCGAGACAGTTTATTTTTCTGTTAGCTTTTGCTTAGTTTCTGGACTAGCTATAAAGTTGCAAACTCATAAAATAAAAGATGCATGATAGAACAAAAGCGTTATCCAGCTGAAGTTCTTTGAAAAACTACTTTTGTACATTTTCATAACATTTAAAGATTGAAAGCCTAGAGAGTTTCGTCTATTTATATATACATAAAAAAGTCTTGAGGCAATGAATTCAATACAGATGAAAGTGGATCTTATAAAAAGCTGATCATATCAACAGATGCTTAAAAAAAACCCCAAACAAAACAAGGCACAGACAGAAAGGCTGAAGCAAAATGAAAAAGTTAGAACAGTTTCTAAAGTACAGCTGCTGCAGTGGCAATAAACTGCAGCTCAACTTGCAAGACGTGAGGTCTGTAGAATTCCAGTTCCAAATAAGTGGTGTGAACAGCACTGCTTCAATGCTGGCAAATTCTTCCAGTTTCAGGTGGTAATTTTTTGCCAAAGACAGTTTTTCTTATATTATTTTACATTACTTGGCTCAATTTTTACCTGATTGAGGGTATCACCTGAGAAACTGCTGATGGTCACTATTAAAGGATAAGCAGAAATTTTAGTGAGTTTTCAAAAGATCGATTCTTGGATGGAAAGGCTTCCCTGGTAAGAGAATCTCTTAAACTTGCATGATCCTGAGGCTAAAGGAGCCAAACTGAACAGGAGTTAAACACAGTAATTAGGGTAGAAAATGGTACAGATTCTCCTATTTTGAGTCATGGTGATTTTTCAGATTTTTGCCTCCTTTAAACAGCAGTAGCGATTTGTGTCTCAAACTATTTTAAATAACCTGAATTTAAGTCCAAGTATTAAGGATTTAACACGAAGTCTTTCTCAAACATGTTTTGTAGAGAAGGACAGAACTCTAAATTACCATAAAATGTCCATGTGTTGCTAATATCTGTCTTCGATATTTTTTTTATTTACTCTTTTTGTCTTCTTATCTTCTTGCATAGCCATCTAATATTTTTATCAGAAACCTGCACCTAAAGAGAATCTTTCTTCTGCGTTAAAGAAGTGGAGAAAGAATAGTTGAGAAAACTTCTTCCTACTCCTAATTTATGTATTGTGCTACAAGAGCTTGTATGCTGTAGACCAGTGAATATTCTTTCAGTTGATATGAGACTTCTGAGCCTTCGGGTGTAGTTGTAACTAAAGGAATTTTTAAAGGAGTAAATCTCATTAACTGATTAGAATTAATTTCCTGCGGTATAACTTAAACCTTTAAGAATGGCTAGAATTGAAATGGAGGATGTAACGGGAAAAGCTCTGGGCAAGTGTTTGAAAGGTGCTGTTATCCTCCTTTTGTGGGACCTTCCCTTCTGACTGTCGCTTGTGCCCCAGCTGCTGCAGACGACAGATGTTACCGCTACGCGGACTGCGCGAGCTGCACGGCCAACACCAACGGCTGCCAGTGGTGTGATGATAAGAAGTGCATTTCAGCAAACAGTAACTGTAGCATGGTGAGTCTTTGCAAGTCTTTGGGCATGTTATCAGTGCTGTTCCTTCTCTAGGCTTGTTTTGAGCACCGTCATCAGCAGCATGCTTGCCGGGCTTTTGCAGTAAAAATCTTGCAGAAGGCAAAAAAAAAAAAAAAAAAAATCTAGTTCAGGGTATACAAAATTACTCTTTAGGGTTGTGTTTAGCTCACTGTATGTTTCTCAGGAAAATACCATTGTCTCCTAATTAATGACATTTGAAAGGCCACAGAGTCCATTATTAACTTGTATTTTCTGCATATGTGGGGTACAGTACACGGGCAGAAACTGTGGAATCTTGTGAAGGGTGGCTGTTTGCCTTTTTTCCCTTTCAAACTCAACCGAGTCAGTCTCAGTCTTGGTATTCTGATCATTGATCAGCATAGAAATTTTTTTCTTTAAACCATGGACTGACTTGTCATCTCATTAAAGGAATATGAGCCTCTGTAACCACGAGATCAACTGGCTTGTGGTGATTTGGTGAGATTGTTCTGATGTTTTTAAGTACAAGCAATCAGATTGCATGGAGTTTATAGTTTTCTCCTTTTAATATTGCTTAGTGCCATGTTTTATACTTTATGTTGTTGTTCAGCAGCTGCTGCATCTCTTGCGTGTTCATTTGATTTTTGACAAGCTTCTAATAGTATTTTTGCTTTATAAATTTTGCCTCCTTATACTTTTCAGGGAGCTGCAGACACATGGCTGTACTTGAGTTCAAAATCCTTTCTTTGCACACTTCCATTAGTAAAAGTAGCTTGCTCTCTGTCTTGAACCTGTTGCAAATCAATCTTGTTCTCCAGACAGACAAATTAGGGTGTGAGTTGGATTGATTCTGACTCAAAGCTTGCCCGTTCAGAGTGAGCACAGCCAGCTCTAATCACTGGCATTTGTAGCTAGTCACTACTAATAAAAGCAGTGCAGACACAAATTCATCAGTGGCCATGTTATAAGTCTGTCAGAGGGATTTCACATTCCAGGCACTAATGCTTAGTTTCCTTTGTGATCTTCAAGGGCTCTTCTTTCCCTAACACGTTGTACTATATTAGGTACTAATTTTCTAACCGTGCTTTTCAACTCCTGAGCAAGGAACAGTTGCTAAGGAGCAGACCATCCTCGTGCCATAATAAATATGAAGCACTCGGTATTTTAGCACAAGCTTCTCAGTTCAGTGTCCTTCTCTGACAACCTTTCATAGCTAAGATTGTCAGCTTAATTAGCAACTGAAGCACCGGTCTTCTCTGTATCACTTCCTGTCTTTTATTCAGGGTTTGAAGTGGATAGCAAAGGCTGTTAGTGCAGTTACTGAAGAAATCAAAATGATTTCTTAAAAGAGGTGCCATCATAAATTGAAGGTGGTTGTTGCAAAATTAGTCTATTGGCCATGAGATGATGGAGGAAGGATTTTGCGTCTTCTATAAAACCCCACCAAAATAGCATCCACAGAACAGCTCCACGTGAAGAATGAGAATGGATCAGGCTGATTATCCGTTTTCATAGGCTGCTACTTCTGCACTAGGCCCATGAAATGAAAATGTTGTGACAGCACTGTGATAATATGGGATAACAAGCTGTAGACTCAGAAATATCACAAGGAGAAAGCCCCATTTTTGCAGCTGTACAGCTGATTTATGACTTAGATCATAGAACTCCAGATGAGACAGACAGTAACATTTTAGAATCTGCTGCTTTTGCAGCAGAAACTGGCCAGTATACTAAAGATACGCTGTCAACCCATTTGGTTTGGCCTCATGGTCACAGATATTTGCAAAGGAGCGATTGCTCTGCTGATTGGAGGGCCTGTAAAATGTGACAATTTCCCTGAAATAATTCTATTTGGATGGATGGACTTCATAAGCAGCGCTAATGCACTGATGATGCACAGATACCTGCCTGTAGTCACCATCTGACGTGAGTCAGCACGTTAACAGGACACTCTGGTCCTGCACACACTCATGGATCATCAAGGTATGTATCATACTCATATCTGATGTATCTGATGCAAGTCCAGGTCATTCTGGAGGTCTGACTCATTTCAGCACTGGAAAGCTGGTTTGTTTCTGTCTCAGTAAAACTCAGAGAATACTGGGATACTTCTGCATGCGATGTTTTTAATTAGCCCCATCATGTCTGATGCAAATGTTGAGGGGTTGCCCCACTGGGAAATAGTTTAGTTAAAGAAAAAGAGTGGTTTAAGATGGTACTGAAATTTCACAAGTGAGTAGGTTGGAGAGCAACCTAGCAGTAGTGCCTTGTTGGCTGGTTTTGACTATTAATTAGAGGGTTTTGTCTGTTGTAACAAGGATTTTGAGGGTTGCCCTGAGAAGTTACACCAAACTGCTTACAGTAGCTTTACATAGTACACTGAAGTTATTCGGTAATAAAATGTAGTTATTATACATAAAACAAGAACAAAAAGTTATTTAATTGTTATCTTTGAGACTGATGGAGCTAAAAAAGGGAAGATTACCTTTTCTCCCTTTTTTTCCAAAAATGTGCAAATACAGATACTTGTTTGCCATAGAGCAACTATAATTCTGTCTCTTGCTAGTACAGACTTCCTGAAATATCTTTATAGATTCCTCTTTCAAGCTCTTTCACAGAGCCTCTTGCATCTAACCCAGGGCCATTTTCAGCTTTAAAACACAGAATGTTGTGTAAGGCTTTGTCACAAAGAAGGAAATTATGATCAATGTACTTGCTCTTTTTCTCCCCCTCGTTGCCTGTCTACATCAAGAATGGAAATTCAAAGAGAAATATTTTGATAGACTTGTAAAACCAAAGATTCTGTGTACATGTCCCTCTAAGCACTATGCATCACTCTGTCTTCTAAAATTGGGAGAAACAGCTTTCTGTCATGCTCATATCTGCTTTTTTTCCCTAGATTCCTTGTCTTACATCTTCCTTCCTTCTTTTTTTTTTTCCCCCCAAAATTTCTGTGTCCTGTTTGTGATATACTTCTGATTTTTGTGGAGTATATTATACTGACTTTTGCAAGCAGTTCACTGTCCTTAAGTCTGTTACATTGATTTTGCATTTTGAACTTGCATTTGTACTCTGTAATATCCTAAGTGTCTTCCTGGTCCTTGGTAGTTCTGAAGTATTTTACCTATTTCTTGATAGATGAAAATCTCCAGATCAGGATCTGTTTAATGAGTTTATGAAACTGTATTCACTTCAAAAGCTTTATCTTGCATCTTGTGAGAATGATACTCCCTTAATGATCATCTTGTGCAGAAACTTGACTATATTTATAATTTACAATGGAAATATTCTCAAAACTCTTTACCAAAAAAAAAAAAAAAAAAAAGAAAAAAAGAAAAGGCTTTGGGGAGAGATTAATTTCATTTTAGATTGCTACACCTTTACAAGGTGTCATTTTTCTGGAGGTAGTAGCGTGGAAAAGTAAACAAAGAATTGGACTGCTCCTCAGGGAGGAGCTGCCCCATGATAGCAAAATCTTTTTATATCTTATGACAAATGAAATGGGAAATGACTGAAGAGGGCTGACCAATTGCAACAAAATACAAAGTTTCCTTTACTTAGGAGGACCAGAGGGAGCTTGAATTTTACAGTAATAAATTTTTTTTATCCTTTTGGTTTTGTTTTTTTTTTTTCCCTCTTCAGAAATGGAACCAAATAGTAGTTGATAAAGTGGCAGAGAGCCCCAATATATTGAGTAGTTTTTTTTAAGGATAGCAGTATATTAAGTCCACATTCTGGCCATAAAACTGTTCTGGTTTTTTCAGGCATATGTAGGCCCATTTGAGAATTGTGATTGCATTGAAATCCTGAAAGCACAGGAATGCTTTTTTGCTTGCCAGCCTTCCTTAACCTGTGCCCCAGGTGGTGTCAGTTCCCTAAATACAACACAAATTGGTATGTGATTTTAAAGTATTGTACATCTGAGTGTGGCAACATAAACTAAACACTGTTGAACCCAGGGAGGGTATGATGAAGAACATTCTCCTAAGGGATATGAGATCCTAGAGGATGCTTCAAAGAGAACTATAGTCCTACAGTGTTAAATATTTTTATACAGTGCCTTAAAGATGAGAATAATTTTCTTTTTGCAATACTTGCATCGCTTCCAGACAGTTATTGCCCTCTTTCAATGATGGGAGTCCTTGGGTGATACACTAATGCAAATAATAATAATTACAGCAATCTGCCTACATTCGAGGAATTCAAAGAATAGTCAAGAGGAAATGTATAAAGTAGTAGAAGGAAATATGAATAGAATCAAATTTATCTTGGAGGAAAAAAAGGAAAATTTATTACTAAGGAGTACCCAGCAGCAAGTTTTGGGAGTAGTTTCAGGGAAACAGTACAAATGTACAAGTTAATAATTTACAGTTGGACTAGACAAACTAGACAAGCTTATACTGTTAACCTGAAAAGTCCAGGAGGAGGAAAGAGGTACGCAATTGAATAGCAATTTCTGAAATTCTAAGATAAACTCCTTTGGTGTTTTCATTCTACAGTAAATATTCAGGAAATCACTGCAGTCCATAAGTCTGTCTAAATATCACCATATCAGGGTCAGTACTTAAAACATCTAAGTAAATCAGACATAAGAGGGAAGCTTTGTACATAACATGATTTACTCATTTTGGTGTTTAAACATTACAAATATCCTACAGCAATATAGCACTTCTGTAACAGATGGGCTGTCATCTTTTTGAATTTCATTGGGTTTGGTAGCTTAAGTTATAACCTTAATATTGTGTTAATATGAATTACCTATTGGATTCACTTCTACATTGAACTAATGAGATTGTTCAGGCAAGCAGTGTTTAAATTGGATTTAAGGGAAATAAGTGCTGGGAATAAGGGAATACAACAAAGAACATTTTTATAGAATAGTCACTGGTACTTTGAATTTTATTTTAAACATTAAATAACCAGCACACAACAAGCTTCATGATTAGAAAGCAGTAGAACAAGTATCTTGGTTTAGTTGAAAAATTGTAATCTGTGTGTAACACCACTGAAGAGTATATAATTTTTAAAAAAATCTGAATGTTAAGGGTATGTCAACATGAAGTGTTAAAAGTGAGTATTAGTTGAGATATTGTAGGTGAGCAGATGATGGTTACTTATGCCCTAAAATTCACTTCAGAGCATCTCTCAGGCAGTCCTGTGAGTGTGCTTCATGATGGAGTGGAGCTGAATGGGGGGTTGTATCAAAGGTTTTTTTGTGCTTTACTGTCTGTATGCATTTACTGGCCTAGACAGACATTCTGTTACTTGATGGCATTGCCTCTGGCTCTGTTTCATTCTGTGGTGTAGATACCTTCTACCTAGAACTGCTTCTCTGGTTCTTTTTGCCTCACAGTAGCCATTTTTCTAGGACAGAAAAATAGTGAGTACCTTTTATAATAAGCATCTGATCCAACAAAGGCGAAAAAATTAAAATACAATAAAGTCCCTAAACAGCAATGTTCTTCCCCAGGAATGAAGCTGGTTCTGTGTGAGATTGAGAATTCATTGTAACAATTGCATTATTTCAGGACTTTGAAAAAAAAATAAAAATAAAAGGAGAGTTCTTGTCTCCCCCCTTGCCTATCAGTGTCCATATTCCAGTACCAGTAACTGTGTAGCTTATTGTCACAATGTCCCTTTATATGTTGTTTAATCATACTCCAGGAGACTATTAGAATGGAAAGCACCCAAAATTTTCAGTAAATCATGCACTTACTACCCAAGTGCAATCCATTTTTGCTGCTATGTATTAATTCAATCTTTTGTTATTAGAGAGAGACAAGAATTGTGAGAGTTTGACAAGAAGCACCTCCAGAGGTCCCTTCTAATCTCGACCACTCTGTGGTTCTGTGAGTGTAAACCTGTCTTGCATTAGGACTTACTTCTAATTATTGCTGTGAAATTAGGCTGGTAGAGACAGCCTTATGGATGAGCTGATGCACTGGCTGAGGATTTAGGGCTGTTCATTAAGTACAATATCAATATTATGCCTTAATTAAAAGTACTATGCACAGGGAAGAAAGATTTGTATCCAAAATGCCTAACTTGGAAAGGGAGACTTCAGTTTTCAGGAAAAAAAGAGGAAAAAAAAAAAAAAAACAACCACCAAACCCACCAAAAGCCCCCCAAACAATAATTCCTTCAGTGTTACTGCCTTTCTTGTATACTGAGGTAACCAAAATATAATGTTATCCCTGGTTTCATGTCATGTGTAGAGCATATTCTTGCACTTTGGATGAATGATATGTAATTATTTTGTACCTTATGCCGCTTTTAAAGTTCTGTTTGACTGTTATGCTTGCTGTAACCTGCACAAGATGGAATAATTTAGTGAGAGTGTAATCCTTAATTACCAAAGAACAGAGATTTAGTTTAGTTGTTTAAGCTCTTCCTGGTCTCTGTACTGGGAATTGACCTCTTCAGAGTACTTCAAACTACACTCGTAGTTGTGTAGAGCAGGTGGGGTGATTTGTGCTCTAGAGATAAATTTCTTACTTTCAGCAACTGCTAAAGGAATCTGCACAAAGAGCTTAAATTCAGCCTGGCTTTTAGGTGGCCACGATTTTCTGGGAAGGATCCACCTGCTCTGTATTTCAGTTTTGACTTCTCTCTTTTTTAATAGTTTGACATGTGCTTGAGGTGCTGTTTCTGTCCCTTTTATTTTTATAGTCGGTTAAAAACTACACCAAATGTCACGTGAGGAATGAACAGATCTGCAACAAACTGACCAGCTGCAAGAGCTGCTCCCTGCACCTGAACTGCCAGTGGGACCAGAGGCAGCAGGAGTGCCAGGCACTACCTGGTAAGGGCTGTGGGCTGCTGACACTGTTACTTTTGCTAGCTGGTTTTACTGTATAAATTGTAATTCAATTATACTTCAATTCTCCTCTGCAGATAGGGCCCAAGATCTGGGTTCTTGATTGTCTAATGTTGGTACTACTATGAAAGCAGTGAATATTAAAATGCTAATATGAAATATTCTCAGAAGGTGGCTGTTAACATTCTGAAATAATATTTATTCTGTAATTTATATTCATAACTATGTGTATGCAGTTAGATGCCAGAACCTTTTCCATTTGATCTTTATGGCCAGATGAAATTAATGAACACATTTTTTTCCACAGAGATTATTCATTAAATAATTTGAATCAGTTTATTCTGTGCAGTTTAAAACAGAATTTGTGCATTCTTTGTCAAGACTGACTATAACAGTTGCTCCAAATTACTTACTTATCTTTTAATAGTTACCTGAGTGTGAATCAAACTGTAAAATGTTGAAGAGGAAATGTTCTCAATATGTTATCAGAATTTCCAATCATTCTAACTGCATTTGTGTCTAGGCAAATATAAATGCAGAGATAGGATGATAAAGGTAGGGTAAAGTAGATCTCTTAATTCTACATAAAACTGAAGTAAAGGGATGGGTTAAAACACTATTAATTATGTACATATTCTAATCTTAATATTGTGTTTAATTCTGAGCAGGGAAGAAATATTGGCAAAAGATTATTGTTATGCTGAAACTTAGCATATATCTTTTAAAAACATAAAAAACCCAATTTTAAGTTTCTTTCCATAAAAATACACTAATATTTGTGATGCTACTTAGTATTTCAGAACTTAGGTGACATGAAAAGGAAAACTGAGTGTGGGATGTGTTTTGATTTACGATGTCAGGAAGTTAAAATTCAGACACCCTTGGGTTTTTTAACAGTTTTTTTCGGATCAGCTTTAATCATATGCTTTTTGCACCAGCTCATCTGTGTGGAGAGAGATGGAGCCATATTGGAGATGCCTGCCTGCACATAAATTCTAGCCGGGAAAGCTACGACAATGCTAAGCTGTATTGCTACAATTTAAGTGGAAATCTTGCCTCATTAACAACCTCGAAAGAAGTGGAGTTTGTTCTGGATGAAATACAGAAGTATACACTTCAGGTAACCTGAGTAACTAATTGATGCTCATGTGAAATAAATTTGCTTGGAGAAATCTGTTTTAGGCTTTTGTCCAAAGACAGGGAAGTTTTTGCCTCCAAAGAAATGTAACGTGGTGTTGAAGACTGGTATCAGTGATGTGTAGGTATTAAGCAAATCTCATGTTTAAAGCTGATGATGCAGCAGTTCCCAAGTGTTTCTCCTTACCTGATTTAAATGTTAAAATGTACTGCTTACCTGTGACAGAATATTTGCTCAAGAGAATGAGTGGATCACTTTGGTGCCCTGGTTTCAGCTGTGATTGAGTTAATTTTCTTTTTGGTGGCTGGTACAGAGCTGTGTGTTGGATTTAGCACAAGAATAATGCTGATCAGGAGAGGTGCTTGAGGACTGGGAAAAAGCAAATATCACCCTGGTCTTTAAAAAGGGCAAGAAAGAGGACCCAGGGAACTACCAGTCAGTCAATCTCACCTTAATCCCTGGAAAGGTGATGGAGCTCTTCATTCTGGAGGCCATCAGTATCCACGTGGGTGACAAGGAGGTGATCAGAAGTAGCCAACATGGATTCACTAAAGGTAAATCATGGCTGAGAAACCTGATTGCCTTGTAGGATGAAACAGTGACCTCGATGGATGAGGGGAGAGCAGTGGATTTTGTCTACCTGGTCTCCAGCAAGGCTTTTGACACTGCCCCTTACAACATACCCATGGGTGAACTCAGGAGGTGTTCCACTTGGGCTTTATTCCTCTCTCATTTTCATTTCTATTATTATAATAAAAATATTTTGTTTCAATGACTAAACAGGTCTTAACCCACAAGACTTACCTTTTCTTTCCGATTCTCCTCCGTGACGAAGCTGGGGACAGGTCAGCAAGTGGCTGAGTGCTACTTAGTTGCCTGCTGAGGCTTTACCATGAATTCTCAGAGATCTCAGCCCTTAATACAGTATGACAGGAGGATCAAAATTCTCTTCACTAACAGAGAAAATCTGACTTTTCACACTAGTACCTGTAAAACTTCTCGAAGGATTGTTTTTGCGTGGTGAATAGCTGGGCTGCAAGCGGTCGAGGACAATGAGGTACTAAAGATGGAAACTTCTCCAGAAGAGCCCAACTTCCTACATGGCTGGCATTTGGGATCAAAGGGTCACAGAGAAGCTGTGCTAGTATGTGAAACATGGAGAAATTCTCTCTAATTAGCAGGAGCTAATTAGCTTTCTCTGATAAAGGTGATGGAGAGAGAGGGCTGAAAACTCTTCCATGCCTCTGGCAAATACAGTAAGCTACCCTCAGAATATTCCCCGGAAAAGTGATCCACATTAATTTTTGTTAACTGTGGGACAAGAGAAGACAAGATTAATTACCTGTTCCTGGGTGGTCAGGTTCAGTGTTTGAGCAGTTTATTATTCAAATTCTTATTGCTGGTTTTAAACATAATTGGTGCAAGTATATGAAATATAAGTATGCTCAAAAATGTCAAACAGTGTACTCTCAGATGAGATGTCTTAGGAGAGTAAGATTCCATTATAAGCAAATCAGTTCTTTTTAGCAAAGGGCATTTTTAGAAGTGTGTATTTTGTTTTGTGAAAGATGTAGTGTTTCTTTGTCTATATCAAATTTTCAAGTAGCTTAGGATTTTACAGTTACAGGAAAATGAGAGATAATTGTGAACAATAATTAAAGCTTGTATCAAACTAGTATGTGATTTACAAAGTTGTTATGCTGCAGATGAATTGAGAAGCATATGAAGGAAATAACAAGGATTGTCTTACTGAATCTTCAAGCAAAGGTTTAGGGACATATATTGTGAAACAAAATATTCTCTAATTATCATTTTTAACATTCCATTTTAAAAAGGAGATACAAACATTGATTAAGTACTTGAGGTTTTTCTGGAGCAAATTTTTTTAGTGGAAAAGTATGTATTTTTTATTATTTGTTAATGAAGGAGAGAGACAAAGATCAGTAATTCTGTGTCAGAAGTTCTTCCCTGATATTGTACTTAGTGCAGCCTTGAAACACATCCTGTCCGTCCACTCTTTGATACAAGTTAATGTTGAAAAAATCACTGAGACCAAAAGAACAAAACCATATTGGCAACATGATTGCTGGAATTATTTAGTTTGATGCCTTTTTTTTTTTTTTTTGTCTTTTTTATCCCCAAATTCCTATTAAAATACTGCACAGGGGGGGCCTTCAAATATAATCTGTGATAGAGTATTGATATGACTGATATTACCTGGCTGGCTTGAGGTGTAGATGAGAAATAGTTGTTTGGGTTTTTTTATTGTTTGAAAGCAAGATTTTTCTTACATTTCAAAGCTTAGAATTGCTACAAGGTGACATCCTGCTGAGCATATCTTTATTTAAATGAAGTATGTCCTGAGCCAGTGTGGTGATGTAAATTTGAGATACCTCAAATACAGTTTAAGCAATTGTAGAGAAATGTATACACTTTAGAAGTATATCTTGGGTTAAACAATCATTTAGCTATCAGAATCTCTAATGAAATGCTACCATGACTTATCCTGGTGTTTATAGTGGCAGTCAGGAAAAAGAACCCGATTCCTTTCATTCGTATCTGTCCATCCAGTTGCATTTGTTCAGTGTGTGACGGCCTAAAGGTGTTATCAGGTGTGACAGAGGCTCTCTGCAACTTCTTGATCTTCTTTTGTCTGCCTTTTCCTCTCAAACTGCAATCATAATGATTTAAGGAGTGAGATTTCATTTTAGATGTCTTATTTCTGGAACAGGTGGTGGTGGTGTGGAGCTCACAAATGTAGTCAGAGCAGCTGTAAGGTGAACATCGTGTCTTTAATCTCTTTGATCTGTGGTGGAGTTTGACCTGTGTGGTTAATATCAAAGGCTTTGAAACTTTTAGCCTGAAAAAAGAAAGGTTTCACAAGTTTTCAGGATGCATGGATTTGTCAGAGCAGCATTTGGAAATAAGAATATGATTCTGATTTTGAATCTGTGTTACTTGGTATTCTTATATTGAGAAAATAAAAAACAACTGTTGTGTATTTAACAAACTGTTAAAATAGTAAATACTACAGCCTGGAAAGACTTGAGAGTTCTTTATTGTTCACAGAAACATTGTGTGACTTTGTAGATTGTTTCCTAATACACAAAGTCCTTGTTCTGGCACAAATTTAGGACATTTCTTTATCATATTTAGAATAATACTTGATGCTTTGGAAAGATTCAGTGGGAGGAGGCTGCCATTTGTCTCTACACCCTACCCAGACTTCACTGTGTGTAAATAATTTCTCCTAATCCCTGTACTAAACTGGAAATCCATAAGTTACCTCTTTTTAAAGGGTAAGGAGAAGGTTATTCTGGTACTAAAGAAGGAGAAAAGACAAAGATCTTTGTGGTATGAAGTCCAAACACTGTTGATTTTGCAGATGTATTCTGAAACTACCACTGGTAGTTTTAAAGTCTAGTTTGTGTTTTTAATTAAAAATAAATTAAATTCTTTAAGAGAATGCCAAAGTAAACATAGTAGATAGACTGCAGATTACCACACTAAAGCAAAATGACACTTGATATTTTTTTATTATATACATTTTTTGACCTAGTAAGCAAAATGTTATGAAAGGGAAGATTTGAAGTTTTCTGCAAAGTAGATTAAACAGCAGTATGAGGTTAATTAACTGTTCCTGCTAATATTCAAATGTTGTATATTCATTTAAAAGTGCAATTAGCTCCCTTGGGAGTTTGCTTGCAACTGTGGGATTTAACTAAAAATAATAATTTTCTTGTTAGCATGCAATAAATTCTGAGAAGATTCTGTTTTGGTGTAGTAAGCATAAACAAAGAAGAGAACAGTTTTACACAATGCCTTTCATTATGTAAACTGTTTGCAATTTTTCCTTTGACTCACTGCTCACAAGGCCAAGCATCTTTTTATAAATTACACTGGAGTTCAGGTTGCAGTTAATTAGTGAGCTTTGCCTAGCAATGTTATTCCTTGTTAGTTCAAAGTATTCTCAGAGGGCTGTATTTTCATGGTTTTATTCTATGTGTGGTTGTGGTCAAGCTGACATCTACTTTTTTCTTTTTTTCTTTTTTTTTTCTGAATTACTCTCCTTATTACAATTTCTAGCAGTCCCACTTTCCTGTTGTGGTTTTGGAAGTCTAATTAATTATTTCAGCACTTTTTCTCCAGATTAGAGTCATTACATTGAGTGTCCATTGGCTCACCTCTGGTTTAACTGCCTTCCTACATTCAGGAAGTGAAGCTCAACTCATTTTGGATGCCTGAGAACTAAAATTTAAAAAAAAAAATGTCCCCTATAAAGAAGAACCCAAAACCCCCCTGGAATACTAGTTATAATCTTTGTAGATGGAATTGGGAAGTTCTATTTTTTCAGTTTGCCAGATTGTCCTTTTTGTTTTTAACCAATGGCACTACAGAATGTTTTAAGAAGAGTAGGAGAATTAAGTGTTCTCATGACCTAATGCATGACCACCTACTACTGATTGCATCTAGATTTCATCATATGTGTCTAATGGATACTGAAACCCTTAAAAATCAGGAAATTTGCTCCCACTGCCTAAAATATGTCATTCACTGGGTAAATATTTACAAAATATGAAACATGACATTATTTAGCATGGTCAGAATGGATGCAGAGTTCAAGAATGGAAACCAAGCAGTGTGACTGTCTGTGGGATGAAGGGTTTCTCTTTCTGTAGTTGCTGTTTGCAGTAAGCAGGGTTTTTGTTCATAATGATGCACAAAAGAGGCAAATTAACTGCAAGCCCTTCTCCAGCCTGTGAATTTTGTGGAAATATCAGTATCAAGAGGCCCCTGTGTTTTAACAAAGTTTAATTTTGTGTTTCATCCTCGAATAACTGTGTAATTGGGAATCAAGGAGTTTGAAAAATTCGTGATAAGTTTGTTGTGTTGATAAGGTGTTGTGAGGCACATAATAGAAAATGAGACAGAATTGTGTCCTACGCTTCCAGGGCATTTTAAGGTCCAAAATAAAAGGAATTTAGGTAAAGGTGGAGATAAAATTTTGAAAGAGAGATGTTATTCCTAAGCAATTTGCATAATTAAGAAACAGAGGATGTTTTTGAGCCTCAGTGGTAATTGGCTATTCAGTAAAGGTAGCCTTGCTCACTTCACTCATTTGCAAATTATTCAGCTCTCATTAGATCAGTGCTGAAGCAGCAGAAGTACCTGAAAAAAATGTGTCATGGCTACAAATGATTCTATTCACTATAGATCTCAAGGCAACTTAATCTGATTTAAATTCTCTGAGTAAACAGTAGATTTAACATGAAGTATCAGCTCTCTAGTTATGATTACACGTATTTCCTTTCTAGCATAGTTCCATAATTACTGTTTAAAAGAAAATTACGATTATGCAATTCAGAAAAAGAGAAGATCATATTTTTGAAGTTATTAGTCATCAAAGTTTAACAAATTCCTGCAGTGGCTAAAAGCTGGCCTTATGTTCAGTTCAATAGAGCTGTAAAGGAGAACACAGAATGATGTTCTATTGGTATGCATTGTATGATTGCAATTTTGCTCCGTCAGATGAAATTGAAGCCTTGTCCAGCAATTTTTCTCAGAATTAAATAATTCTGAAATCTTTCTTAACGTAACGGTTGATTTCTCCCTTAAAGGAAGGGGTTTTGCCAAGTTTTTATCATTGTTATAAAAGATTGTTCTATGAAAACAGATAAACTTTGACTAGCTGTATTTCAAACACAAATATATAGCTTCCAAGATGGGCTGTGGCTTCTAAAAAATAGCCTAGAAAGATATAGATGGGAGGACAAATGTATTCTAGAGATGATTCTGAATTTTAACTAGTGTAGTGGGATAAGGCTATGAAATATTTCTCAAGGTACATTTGATTATGTTCTTCATTGCAACATTAGTAAGGCCCATTACAACTTTTCCCAAGATGGATTTGATCACCTGCTGTGTATTGCATTGCTTTGTTTTGCTGTAAAATTTTACTCTGCTAGCTTCTGTGTTTTTCCTTTTTCCTCTTTTTCTTTTTCTTCCTTTTTTTTTTTTTCCTTAATTATTACCTTTTTTTTTTTTGAGTAAGTTTGATTGTGGTTGTTGTTGCTTTAACACGAATTGTACATTATGTATAAAGGGAATTTTTATAAATGTACCTAGATAGAAAGAAAAAACAAGTCTTCAATCTCTCTGAGGAGTAGCTTTCTTCCTAATTTTCCGTGTTGAGTAAGGATCATCTGAACTTTCAGTAAAACTGATATACTTGAGAAGAAAAAAAAGGAAACATTCAGGGCTGATTTTCTGTCTGCAAGTGTTTTTCTGAAGCATTGATTTGTAGTGTACTTTTCACCCACCTGGTTTGATAGTAAGTATTTTTCGAGAGGCCTGTGACCTGGAATCCTGCATCAGCAAAATCTGGGTCCAGAGAGCCAGCAATCTCCTTCCCTTCCTGTCTGATCCTCTTCCAAAGAAGCATCTTTGGCAAGATATCAAAATAAAGGGATCGGCTTCCCACATTCATTTGGCATTAAATGAAACAACCATACAGTTCAAGAAAATGATGTTCGACTCTCATTATTTCTTAAACCTCAAGAAGAAGCTGGATTGGCGTTCTCATTCAACACCTTTGAAGTCCTTCAGTTGCTTCAAGCACTTTGAGACTCTCAGCTATTATGACTGAACCTTTCCTCAGTCTGAGAGATAATTTAGAGTAGATTTATGCTTTTCTTTTTGGGAGAAGTTAGTTTGATAGCTACAGAACCCTGGTGGCTTCAGGTGTCAAATGTGGAACTTGCTGGATTATCTCTTCCCAGCTGGATTTTTCCTGTTTGCTTTCGTGCAGTGGAGCAGCAGTGATTTTCTCTGCTAAACTTTGCTGATATCAACACACAATCTCTGCTGTTACCAGCAGTCTTCACCTCTGGCCCACCATGTCATAGAATTGATGCCACATAATTAAATATACATGTTTAGCACATCACTGGAGCATCTGTGAGGCTTTACTTGGATAATCTGTCTTTGGCATGCCCAGAGCAGCATAAGAGACCCTGCAAGGTCACAGCTTTGATGGCTTGTATTTGATAGCACACTCATCAGTGTTCAGGTCTGTATTATGATGTCCTGTGCTAGCAAAGAGCCAAAGATGGTACCTATGGAATTTGAGATGCCTGACATGATGACTATTAACTGTCCAGAGAGTACAGCTGTTAAGAGATGATTATGATTATGGTATGTGTTGCTTGGATAGAAATCTTTCATTTCAGGGATGCTACTTTTATCTCCTGTGGCTTCTTTGGCTTTTCTGATTCTCTCTGGGACTTCATCATCGTTAAAGGGGTTCCAAGACAATCTCTTACTCAAACAGAAGAGTTTATCTCCAATGTCACTGCTGCACTGTCAGTTTTCATTATTGGCCTAACATGCTTTTCACCAGAGCTGGAGTAGGATCTCTGGTTATTTGTGTGCTGATGCTGAGGCCAAATTATTTGGCAGTGCAATTGAAACAGTCAGTAATATGTTGAAGGTTCTCTTAGCTGAAATCCCTTGATCCCAAAGTAGGCATGTAGGGTTGGTTTAGGTCTGTGTTTGTCAGCAATTTATCCTGCCTAAGACCCTGACATATTTTTTTATACATGCTTGGTGTGCACACACAGCATTCCACAGAGAGATGTCTGGAGATACGCATAGATATCCAAGGTTTTTTTGAGGCACGTGGACCATGTGCATAGACAGCAATCTAGGCAACTAAACAACAAATAAGACAACAGATGTATTACCCACCATTTTCCAGATGCCCAGGTTGCACTTTGACTGTTTGCATCATGTTCTTTCTGGTGTCCAGATCATGGGAGCTCTTACAGACACCTGGAAAGTTGGTCACCTGGGGTAGCAAGGAAGTTATGAAGTTGATACAGAAGTAAGACACAAGAATGGGCAGTGGCATATTTTGTTGGATGTTCTTGTTGCTGTTCAACATAAGAGTGCATCACTGCTTATGGAATTGAACATTTCTTAGTAATTTTCTGGTTTATTTAAGTTTTTTCTTCTCTTAGTGTTGTTGTGGCAAATTTTGTTTGATCGTGATCTGAACTGATAGTACAGAAGAAGAGAGCATAGCCAGTACATTTTAGGAAGGTCAGGAATACTGATTACCTACCTACTGATTTTTTTAAAAAGATATTTAGACACTAGTATTTTTGAAGCAAAATTAATAATCCCTAACGTTTCAATTTGGACTAAGAAGGCAGAGAGGAAAGAAAATCACAGCATTCCTCTGACTGAATGTAGAATTAAGAGTGCTGAAAGACTTTTTTTTTTTCTAGACATGGGTTAACCTTGAGTGGCCAAAGAAAGATATGAGATCAAAGATGAAAGATCGCTCTGATAGAGAAAGGCAGTAGCTCTTGGTTCACTTGTGAAATGGCACATAGATCTTGAACCGTGGCAGGTCCCCTTTTGGTATGTTATAGAGTTTTACTTACCTTGGCCTGTAAGTTAAATCAGTGGAGAACCTAATTCACAATCAGATCGATATATCTGCTTTGGAGCTGACCATGTCTATTCTCTGCCTGGTGCAGACAGCTGTGTTTGGGCGTTCTGGTATTTACCTGCCATCACATACCTGTCACAGCCCCATTGTCTCTCTGTATCTCACCTCCCTGTGTTTAAACTGGGGTTAATAAAAACTGCCAGCACAGAGATTACTGGAGGAAATGTGTTTGATTTTGGTGTCTTGAGATTTTTACAGTGATGGGGGCAAGTAATTTATGTCAATTTGTCCTGGAACAACAAAGGCCTTTACTCCTTAAAATCTGGTTTTCCTCTTGGTAATTGTATAAAGATGAAATAATAAAAATTAGTAGAATTTGCGATGTAATTTTACTGATACATTGTAAACATTTTTAAAAGAAATAATGCTTTTAATGTTTTCTAGACTATTTTATCTAACTTGTAATTTAATAATAAAAGTGTATTCAATGTGTATTTAATGGCACTGGAGTTGTAAATGTGACACTTTCATCTCTGAATTGCCTAAGCAATATAGACTTTAGAAGATGGAATAATATCCTATTTTTTTCCTGAACTTTGATTTTTCTGAATTGCTGTTAACTTACGTGTATTTTATTATCCATGTTGGCTTAGCAATTAGTAATCAATACAGTAACCACTGGAAAATAACCAAACAGTTTCATTATGACCGTTTAACCCCTATCAAATAATAGTAATGAGAATTTGAATAGAACACAGACTTTTAGTAGAAGGAAAACATATAGTGGGTGGAATTTTTGTTGGTCTTTTGGGGAGGGGAAGGAGGGAGATGTTCAGCAGCATAGAACAATTAAGATTAAGACTGTATGGATGTGATGATCAAGTGAGATAAGAACATGATGAGTTCTGAAAACGTGAAGTTGTTGCTGTTGAGCTGTTCTTTGGAATGTTTTGGAACCACAAAACGAAAGGCGCTTGAAATAATTCTCTCTCATTTGTTTCATTCTCATTCATAGAAAATTTCACCTTGGGTAGGTTTACGCAAGATCAACATCTCCTACTGGGGCTGGGATGACATGTCTCCTTTCACAAACACAACCCTGCAGTGGCTGCCTGGAGAGCCCAATGACTCCGGCTTCTGTGCCTACCTGGAGAGAGCAGAGGTGGCAGGGCTGAAAGCAAATCCCTGCACTGCAATGGCAGATGGCCTGGTGTGTGAAAAACCTGTTGGTAAGCAATCCCTTACACCCTGTTACTGATACTCTCATCAACAGCAAGCTGGTTGGGATTTCATTTGTTTAAGAGGGATTAAATAATTACATTTTTTATTTTTTTCAAAAAGGTGGAGCTGTAATCTAGAAACAAATAAAGTTCCTGAAGCAGCAAATATTTATTTCAGAATTGGTTTGCATGGCTTATTTCTTGTTACACCAGAAACCTTATAATTTGCCTTCAAATCATTAATAGTCAGTGCTAACAGTAATTGTAACATGGAAGTGTCTGTGGAGGTGTTCGAAAATTCTGTTTTTTCTGCATCTCACTGAGCATTAGTCAGAGTACTTCAACTGTATAAGAATACTTTTGTAGTTCAACCGATTTTTGTTATTTTTTTTTATTGCAAACCTCACCTTGGATATGTGCATAGTAGGTCAAATCCAGGAATATCCTTAGGAAAGTGATTTGGTGTACCGTGGTAGTTGATGAAGAGTGGCTTGAGAACTTGGTTGATGTTAAATATCAATCAATAACATACAAAAGCATGGCAACACATAAGAGAACTTAATCCTGATGTTTTACAAGGTGCTTCTGTATATGTACACTTCTCTACTATGTGCACCTATATGTTCCTACCTAAATGTTGTTATACTCTTGTTCTTGTATAGTTTACAATCTTATTTGAAATCAAAGCAAAAATTGGGAGTTAGGGTATACAAGGGTTTTTTCTTTTTTTTTTTGTGTTATGACTTCTTGAGTCAGAATGGGATCTCTAGTAGAGAAAAACAAAAAGCAAGCCCCCGAAAGAACAGCCAAAAAAATACCCCAAACCAAATGTTCTTTGCATGAATAAGGTTCCTTTTGTTACTTTGCCTTTCGATTCCAGTGACTTTCAATGTACACTGGAAGGCAAAATTTTAGGGGGTAGGTAAGCCATAAGTGGAACATTTGTTGCTTGTACACTGTTAAACTAACAAGAACAATAGACCCAGAACTCAACTGGTTATAGAAGTCTGAAACATATTTTATGTCATGTAATATACGTGTAAGTAGCTAAGCTGGTATTTCCAGGCAATGAATATTAAATATTTTGTTTCAATATAGAGATGAAATTTCTGTGAATTTTTTTAAATGGACTTTTAGAGCTATAGTATGAGCATTACTTGACATTTTTTATAAGATATAACTATATTCAGCAGCATAAATTTGGATGAAATTATCTATAGCTGACAAAGGAGGCAGTCACTCCAATAGAGATTTTTCTCACGGCACATACGATGAAAGGAATGTTTGTGGTTTTTTTCCAGTCAGTCCCAACCAGAATGCCAGACCCTGCAAAAAGCCGTGCTCCCTGCGAACAACGTGCTCCAACTGCACCAGCAATGGCATGGAATGCATGTGGTGCAGCAGCACCAAGAGGTGTGTTGACTCAAACGCCTACATCATCTCCTTCCCCTATGGACAGTGCCTAGAATGGCAAACTGCCACCTGCTCCCGTGAGTATCTTAAGAAATGTTCATCATTAATTTTTATTTTCACTCCAAAGAGCATCTATATGAGTAGGATTCAGCACATGCATTAAAGACAGAAAGAATTTTAAATAAATGACTTTATATAGCCACCAAGGTGAGAAGTCAATATGGAGTAGGTGTCTTCTAGATCCAGGTAAAATACTGGCAATTCTTTTATGATAAAATATATTTAGTCTTTTGAAACAGCGAAAGTATATGTTGTTTTCATGTAAAGAAAAATGACCACAACTGTTTGCATGACCAGTGTTAGTGTGCCAAATAATGGCCATGAGCTGGAGCAGCATACTGTTAAAATTAGATAAAAAATATGTAGAACTTATATTTATACAACATCAATTTATTAAGAAAAGTGTGCTGAATCTTAAGGTTCTGATTTTCAGGTTCTGATTTATTTTATCACAAGGAATACCATGTTCCTGACATGGAAAGATAAAAGCTAAGTTATAACAATTATAGTAATGGTCTTTGAGAATATTGTAAATGAATGCAAACCAAATGATCTTAGTCTTCCTTAGATTCTTCTCCCTTGGAAATGCTGATTATTAACCCTTGCAGATTCTTTGTTCTCTCTATAGAAGCAGAAGGAATTCTGTTAAGCCATCAGACAGGTAAAGCAGGTAGAGAAAACTTTTGTCTTGTGTGATCAGACTGTGCCAGGCTGCATTAATGTTCAAGGTTGCACATTTCATCCTTTGGGGATAAAAGACAAGTGATTTCTTTGGCAAGGAGCAAAGTTATGCCCTGGATACCCTCTTTGGAAGCACATTTCATCAGAAGTTGACACAATACCTCTCTAGGAGCATTAAAAACCTACTCAATGCACCTTACAGTGTTTATTTCAGCTGAAGTTACTTCCCAGTTCTGTAGTGACTGGACCTCATTGACACCATGTGGTTCCAATATGTATCCATGCTGTAATTCCTTAGGTGCTGGAGCAAGCTGCCTGCTGCCTTAGATTCTTGTCTTCAGAACAATTCCTCAGTCACCATCCAGAAGACTGGTACTTAGTAATTATTCTGTCCTTCAAGATTTGATGAAAATATTTCCTGTCTGTAAAGGACTTCAATGTGGTGTGATCCAAACTTTGTATGTAGGGCTTCTGAAATGCACCATGGAATTCCCCTTATTGCTCTGCTCTGAGAGAGTTTTTCTAGTTACTTCTTACTTCCTTTACCTCTCCATTAAGGGTCTTTCAATAACAGCCTCTGGAACATTTTATTTCTGGATATTTTGTGACAGGATTGATGATCTTGACAACAAGAAGCAACTTCCTTTCAGGATCATAATTAGATCATGATTTTGATCGATTATGAATACAAATGAAAAAAAGCCCCTAAACAAAACACAAAAGGCAATTAGTTGCTTTCACCTAAGCTTCAGGAAAATATTAATAAGTAAGTTCTTGATGTGTCTGTAATAGGAATCACTGATATATTCTAATCTTAGGAGAGAAAAATGGGTATATGTACCAGGCTGCTAAAGGGTGGTTAGGAATATAAGGCATTGGAAAGCTTTTCTTTCAGGATAAACTGACCATGAGCCCATATTCCTCTTAACTGAGATTCTTTCTTCATCCTGAATAATCATAGAATGTCATGAAACAGTACCAGTACCATGTTGAGCTGTTCTCAGGTTTAGTGGGGACTAGTAGTAGGGTTTACATGTTCCTTGGGACCATCAATCAGTCTGTATTTGGACTAGGAATAAACAAATAATAGGAACACTCAATCTCTTGTCCATATATTTGGAATAATAATACTGTAATTATATAAAGATTTCTCTCTCGTGACCATTCACTGAATGTTTTTTTCCTCTTCTATAAGGAATCAATTTGTAACCTATAAAATATTCATAGTGAGTTGTGGCAGAACATAAAGAGAAGATAAAATTGACAGAACACCACATGAATGATTCTTGGGTTTTTAAACTAGCAGATATTATGTCTACCTGAACTTTCAATTCAGTTTTTGTGTTTGTGTAGTATTTGCACATCATGCTGATTCAATTTGTTTGAAGAACACAAAAAAAATTCTCCTTAATTTGATTGTACTTTTTGTCAGGTCTGTAAAAGTTTATATTAAATAAGGCAAACAGGATTTGCTATATACCTGTTCATCATTATGTAAAGGCAATTTTGTACAAAAATGTATTTTCTGTTCAACAAATTAGAGAAAAACAAGATTCTGTGTCTGTAAGCAGTTTTCTTGAAGTTTTCTAGCATCAGATATTTTGCATTTAAACAAGAAAATGTATGTCCAAATGAAGCATGGTTCAGACGTTGTTTTAGTGTAAATGACTTGAAAATTTTATTAGGTAAATATATCATTATTGCTGCTGAAATAATGAAATATTAAGTTGATTCCCTTATCAAGGCATAGAGTTTCTTCTTAACTTGGAGTGGACTGTAACACAACCCTTTTAAAAAAATCCTTCTTTTTTTAAAAATTCTATTTTTATTTTAAATTATAATTTCTGAGCTTTGGGATGTTTTGCTCTGAATGAAAAAAAATAGTGCAAATATGAATGATTTAAAATATAAAATACAACAAGTGAGAGCTTCACATTTATTTTCACAGCTTGGATTTCAAATGCAGAATGGTGTTTTATTGGTGACAATTTGTCATATTAGTACCTGCTTGCCAAAAATTTTCAATTCCACTTTTCTCTGTCTTCCATCCGTTATGACTTTTGATTGAATAGCTGATAGTGGAACAATCTTGGACCACCTTTAGAATTCCAAAGAAAATAAAATTTCTGCTTTAATATCCCCTTCTTCCATCAGCAGTAGCTTCTCAGTTAGCTCTCTTCAGCAAATGCCACCACAGAGAATATATGAGGATTTTCGCTTTTGGTTCTGTTTTATCTTCCATGGAGATAGTGCAGCTGATACTTCAGAGCTTTATAAATAGCAACACGAGTATAAATAGCAGCATGAGATTTGTTTGGATCATTTACTCTCTGAAAGGGCAAGTCAGCTGGTACAGAGTGATGGTCTTTATTTTTCTGCTGATCTTCTAATGTATTCAAACCCCCAAATTTGTATCATTCAGCTTCAGTTCTGATGGTTTAAAACTGATTTGTCACATGCTTGACAATTTTCAACAGCATTAGAGTTTCCCCTGCCTCCCCTTTTTCCCATATTTGGGAAACTTGAAGCATTTCCTCCTATTTGGATTGTTCCAAGTCTAATGGTGCAAGAGCTCACACTTCAGCTTTCTGCTCTGTAAAGTCCTGAGATTCACTCAGATTAACTGCCTGTTATCTTTATCTCCACGTATCTTTGAACTATGGAGTATTTTTTCCTCTTATAGTTTCCACTACTTTTTAACAACTTTAATGGTTGCTGAAGTCAGGGAAGTTAGCTTTATTCTGCTCTCAATTTATTAAATCAGTAATAAGTCATTCTGCTTAGTATACACTTTATAGCATGGATTCAAATATTCCTTTTGTGGCATAGAGTGGTCCAGGTAGCTGACAATATCAGTTGGATGTACTGTCCTGGTACATCAGCTGAGTCAAATTAAGAGGTTACTGCCTCACTTTAATGAGACAAAAGTGTTTTGCTAAGGAGGATGAGTTATGAGGAAGACCAAAACTCCTCCCTCTAAACAATTGTAAATCCGAAATTAAGAGGCTCCAAGTGAGAAAGTGTGGAGAAAGATGAAAAAAAACAACAGCCCTTTATTTAAAGGATATATGGGTATTGGCAGAACAACACAAGAACACAAAAAAACCCCAACTGAACAATAATCCTGTACCCGGTGTGTGGGCGGAGCCAAAAATGGAGATCTTCCCTCCCACACAGAGAAGGGGAAAGAGGAGAAAAGGGATCCTTCCCAAGAGAACTCACGCTGGCTGTGGCTGCCTGCGTGACTTCCCCTTTTTCGTCCATGTGCACAAAAACCTCTGCCAAAACACAGGAGGGGAGGAGGGAGAAAGGGTGAGACCTCCTTCCCAAATAGTCCCTCTCGGGTGAACTCCAAGCGGGTCCGGGCTGGGGGCAGAAACAAGGCACAGGCAAACCGGGGACAGAAAACAGCCAGAGGGCCAGGCTGGGAACAAAACAACCTTGGAGCTTTTCCAACCCACACCTTACCTCAGGTCTGGCAAAACAAACAAACAAACAAAAAAGCCAAACCAAAACAAAAAAAAAAAAAAAAAAAAAAAAAAAAAAAAAAAAAAAAAAAAAAAAAAAAAAAAAAAAAAAAAAAAAAAAAGGAGTATGGATCTTTTAACAGGAGGGGGAAAAGAGGAAAAAAGAAAAACCAACTCCTCACCTCTCCCCACAGACTTTTGAGGGCCATCAGCCTGGAAGGTGGATTTGCTGGCTAGTTCTTTAGGGTGAGTCCATCACTCAAGGCGAACTAACCTACCCCCTTCAACATCTTTCTTTTACAGTGGGGCAGGGGGGAGGAAAAAATTCCCTGCTTAGTTTCTTTTTTTTCCTTTAGAACAGGCAAACCTCAGTTACACTCGTATAAAACCCATTTGAGTGTCCTTCAAAAAAACTCCATAGAAACTTAGATAATTTTGGCTTCCTGGCAGGATCTTTCTTACATTCACGTATGCTTTTAAAATTTAATTTTTGAATACCTGTAAAGTTATTGTGAAAAGAGACAGGGACCCATAGTGATCAATGTTCAAATGATTCTGATGTTAATTCAGTTTTACAACATTAATTAAAAAAGTTAAGATGTAGCAGAAAAAGCTCAAAGAAGCCTGGTAATTTTAATGGTGTTCCTGAAGATACTAAAATGTTAATTTCCTATTAATAAGAAATGACAGGAGCTTCACCATAGGAATTTTATTTGGTTCTAAACAGATTTAAAATATGAGGAAGGCCATTTAATTATTCTACAGCAATAGAGTATAAAAGATCTAGAAGGAGATTTGATTTTAAGCATGCAATTTAAAAAAGGAAACCTGATTAACTGAGAAGAATCTTAAGATATAGTTCAATTAAAGGGGATTGAGTTACGACTTGTAGCTTAAGATGTGTAGTATGCTCACTTATTTCAGAAGTTCTATATAAGGAGATTCAGTCATATTTGTAGGTGAATACTCAGGTGAGATCCAGAGGTGCTTTATATCCAAATAAATTTTTGGTTTGAGTTTGAATTATCCAGGTTTCATTGTTTGTTTTGAATAATATTATCACTCTTATTTGGGTTACTGACCATGTATTGAATTCTAGAGTTTTTCTGTTGGAAGGGCTGATTATGTCAGTAAAATTAGTAATCTATGCTTTATATATTAATAATAAGGAGAAGATGTATATTTTTGAGGGATTTAATGAAGGTGTGTAATATTATTGTTCTGCTTAATTATCTTTGTTTATTTGCAGTCTTTACTGTTGCGCTGAGGTGTAAAAAACACCTGCTGTGTATTTTGTGAGGAAGTACAATTTTTAAAGAAAACTGAGATATTTTTACTAACATTACTGATTTTTTTTTAATTTGCACAAGGAAATAGAAATGCTAAATTGTTCCTTCATCAACTGTTGTAAAATGCTAGCATCTTATTTTTAAAATACAAACAAAAACCCCCACCCAAACACTGAAACAAACAAACCCCGTGGCATTAACACTCTATTCCGTGTCATAAAGCTCAAAACTGCTCTGGACTGAGGACCTGTGGACAGTGTTTGGAACAGCCGGGCTGTGGATGGTGCAACGATCCCAGTAACACCGGCAAAGGACAATGTTTGGAAGGATCATCCCGAGGTCCAATGAAACCTGTTGGTGGGCACTCCAATGAAATGGTGCTTGATGCTGCTCTTTGCCCAAAAGAGAAGAATTATGAGTGGTCTTTTATCCAATGTCCAGGTAAGGTCTGCTTCCATTCTTTTTTATACATGAAATAAGAGACATTTCTCTGTTTAAGCACCCCAAAATAACCTAATTGTTTTAAGGTAACGTAACATTTGCATGAGATACTTCTTTTTTCCAAAATATTTTTTAAATTTATAGGTTTTTAGTCTCTGTCTGCCAAACACAAAGGTGTTTCCTATTGTGTAGGTTTACATGAGAAATGTAACACAAGTAGTTTAATCAAAGCTGCCATTTATTTGTAAATAAGTTTTCACCCACCTTATCCTTCCACTTTTTAAAATCCAACTATATGAATTTGCTTACAGTTTAAAAGCTTGAAAACTTTTGTTTTTTTAGAATAAATAGTGTCCTTGTGCTAAAGGTTTTTTTCTCCCAGCAAATGTTCTACTGCTGGTAATTTTGGAAACTGGAGCTTCTCAAGGATCAAAACTTTTATGGGTACATGAAACTATGTTTGCTTTCCTGGCTGCTTTTTCTATCTGTGTTTTCTGTGGGTGTGTGCATATTTATAAATAGAGAGAGTTTAATGTTTATTCTTCATGGCTTAAATTATGTATTCTTTGCATGTCCTGGTCAAGAATTCACTGAAGTTCCAAATGCTTAATTCCAGTATTCTCTAACTACTGGGTCATTGATTTATGATTTTTCTAGCCTTCCTAATGTTTAGTTTTGTATTTCTCAATTTTTGTGTTATTTAAAGGATGACGAAAACAATCGTAATTGGCAATTTTAATTTACTGCAAGTGATAATATTACCTGGTCATATCTGATACTTCTGAATTTTTACATTTTGTTAAGGCAAAGAAAATAGAAGAGGTTTTTAAATCAAATTCAAAAAATTATATGCACAATAAGAACCAATGCAATCCTCAACTGACATGACAATCATTGAAAAAATGACATTATGTAGTTGCTGATTTCCCTAAAATTTTGTATCTCATTGAGAAAAGTGGAAAGTCAGGAGTTGCACAGTTCAATAAATTTTGAAGTTGTTTCAGTGCAATCAAACTTAAGACATCAGTATTAAATAATTAAAATAGTCATTAAAATAATGAGACACTGTAATGATCGTTTAAATAAGAATTAGGAGTTCAGTTTTAAAAAGTTCTTTTTTCGTTAAATCCTTTTAATGTGCATCACTGGCAGCAAAAAATTCTCCTCACACACAAAAATGTGCTTTGGCTGAATCTTCAGTGAGGCTGCCCTGGAGAGAAGCAATTTTATGTCTAATTTGCTTTTGACCTCTGTGGTGCAATGGTTGGTGATGCTGAGAATTGTTGATAATTATAATTTTAAGAAAATACTTAAACTAAGAGAATATAGAAAAAGGATGTCTGCATGACCATCTGGATCTAATGTAAGGATAATTCATCTAGTTTTAAGCAAACTAGTTAGAATACATTCACACTGTTTTTCTGAGGAGAAATTTAGACTTTAAAGAAAAACTTGGGCTTGCCTTTTACCTAAACTGCTCTTCTCATGGGAGGAGACGTCAACACTATTTTTCTTTTCATGTATGATATTTGCAATTTTATTTATAATAATAGTTCAGTTAAAATAAGAATGTGATAAAAAATGAAATTTGTATTCATATCAAAAGAAATACTCTGACAGCATCTTTGAGGACTATTGATTTCAAAATGACCAGTCACAAAAATAAGTATTTTCTATACTACCTGCTGAATACTAATTTAAAAGATTTGAACAGACAGAAAAGGAGAATGAATTTAAAATATTTATCACCAACACAATTGCCCAGAGGCACTATAAAGAGGATGGATGTGGACTACAAGGAAAACTAAATGCATGTATGAATGAACAGGAATGGTTTAGCCAACTATTCATCAGTGTGGCAGAATAATCTTCAAACTCTAGCGTATAAATTATTTATTTTTATTTTCATCCAAACCACAAACTGCTCAATAGGCTTACACAGACTTAGTATTATTTTATCTTGTTTCAAGTGTGTCAAGTGACTGTTGTGCTTAGAATAAAATATGTTGGTATAATTCATTACAGACAACATTCTATGAAAATACCAATAAAAATGAAATTTTGCATCAGGTGAAATTTTAATTCTATGACTTCTGTAGTACTTTTCCCTTCACCACATAGAACATGTGAGTTTCAAACTAAATTGAGCATTTTTCCTACACTATGATACAGTCTTAATTAGACAATCTGTAATAGAACACGTATTTAATGTACTCTGACCTATTTAATGTACTCTGGTTTTACTTTTTTTTTTTTTTTTTTTAACATTTCCTTAAGTAATTTTATGTGTAAGACATTTCCACAAAACCCAAAATGGAGCTGCAAGTCATGGTACTTCTGTGTAGCTTTTCCTGAGAATGACATCAAACTGCAGAAGGGGAACCCTCCTGGAGGAGAACACCACGAAGGTGTCTGAGAATTAAGCCACAATAGTGAGAAAACTTAACAGTACAGAAATTGGTTCATACTTGTTTGCAATATTCTCTGAGCACAGTTACAGAAGAAGGAAGAGATTGTCAGCTGGGGAGGTTTAATGGTTTATGAGCCAAGCCTGGAAATGGCTGTAAATATATGAAGTTACTAAATTACAAAACTGATCTAAAATATTTTAAATCATGCAGTGAGAATCTTCCCCCCACCCCCGCCAGCTGAGACACCAATCACTGTGACATTTAGATTAAAAATCCAAATTTAAAAAAAAAAAAAAAAAATTACTGAGATAATTGTCTTCTGCTGAGTCTTTCACCCAGGTTTACCATGGTCTGACATTTGACAAGCTGCTGTAATTGACAGATTACTAATCTGCTGAGCACGATGAGCTCTGAAGTCCCACTCTATAGAGAGGTCATCCTTCAAAAGCTGGCAGCAGGATCGATGATTCTGGCAGGGTTCATGTGGTGATTTTGCTGCAACAGTGATCAGTGCTTTCTGAGCTTCCCCAAAACGTGAATCTCTGGAGTGGAGCTGTGGTGCAAGATCAGTGGTTTATAGTGCTGTTATCTGGCAAAAAGCAAATTTATGCTTTCAAGGTCAGGTGTAAAAAAAAAAAAAAAAAAATTATGTCATTAGAGTCCAGTTTTTTTCCTTCCACCAAAATCAACTGTAGTGAGGAGGGACTGGAGCTGTTTAATGTGGTCCTGGTGCTCTTAAAATTGTTTTGTATGCTAAAGCTGGTCAGAACTGTTAAAAATGAGATGCTATTTTGTTACTTTATTTTGGAAGTTCTTTCTCCCCAGTGGATAAAAGTTTGGCTGCGAATTGTTCACGTTCTCCATCGCAGTAGCCTTTCAAATGTTTAACAGTGGGTTGTGTGTAGGGATTGGGGTTTTCATGTAGTCTCAGTTTGTGACTTACTACCTCTTAAAAGATTTCTTAAGTGACTGGGCAGCACTGTAAAGCTATAAGGACTGGATGGCAGAAAAAATTGGCAACCCCCCCCCCACTTTCTCACACAGTTAAAATTCCCACGTGACTAAAAAGTCAACTTTTGTGGTCTTTTGTGTGGATCAATGTTGTTGCAATGCTAATTTAAAGAGGTTTCATGTCAAAGTACAAACATAAAACTGGTTATTAGCGAGGACTAAACTGCTCAGAATTGGATTGTGCTGCAACTTTGTAATGGCATAGGTATGATTTTGCAACAAAGAGCTGTTTAGTAATGTAGCTTTTAAAATGTTATGTTCCAGCTTGCCAGTGTAATGGCCACAGCACCTGCGTCAACAGCAATGTCTGCGATCAGTGCAAAAACCTCACAACAGGGAAGCAGTGCGAGACCTGCATGCCAGGGTATTATGGGGATCCCACCAACGGAGGCCAGTGTACAGGTAAGTCCTTCTGCTGGGAGGAAAGAGAAAAATACCCAAAGGACATTCCTGTTCAATGTTTGCTTTTATCCATTGCTGAACTTGGAGGATTCTCCTTGAGGTGAAAGAGAGAATGAAGACCAATAATCCAGATGAGTTTTGTGTATTGCTGTAGGGCTGCTTTTTTACTTACATGGGTGGCTTTAAAGTTGGCAGTAACTCCTCCCCTTAGAAATAAATGGAGGAAGCAGGAATATATTCAATGTGAGAACTCATTAAGGTAGTTGACTTTGAATCTAGGAGGGTACTAGAAAGTTTAGTGCCGTTCTCCATTGCTGATGTTTCGTTAACAGGACCTTTGCTTCTTAAGGCGTTTTTATTCGTTGAAAGGGTTTGTTCCTCAGCACTCAGTAGGCAATGCATAAAGCTTTCCATCTGGTAAACTCAAGCACAATATGTAAAAATTGTGTTCAAGGGTATGGAAAGATTAATGTCTACCCCTATTGACAATTGAACGTTTTGCTGGTGCTTTATGACGCTTTAAATAATTCTTAATAGTTCTCTTTTTCCCCTGAAGTTGACAAAATGTTCTTTTGCTGTCTGTATCACCTTTGTGGCAAAATGATGTATTCATACAGCTTTTATTCTTCAGGGATACATTAGCTATCAACCAAATAAGCATTCCATCACCTTTAGTGAAATATGCATGGCGCAATAATGACTAAAATCAATTTATAAGACCAGTAAAATTATAAATTTTACAACTTGTTTTTTTGAACCTAGTCTGTAAGAGCGCATATTTTTATTGGTAGACATGATTTTAACAGGAGCTATTTTGATTAAAGAATGCTTTAAAAAATAAAAAGGATAATTATTTTGAGGCTTTATCTGCATTGGTTTATTGTATTCTGTAGCGGAGAGCCCATAAGAAATATGTTTATATCTTCAGGATGTTTTGAAAAATTGAGTCATTGCGAAATGTTAGATTCTCTTCAGTATTGTGATTACTCTCATAGAGGTGCCCAAATTTTGGACCAGGAAAAAATAGCAGTGATCCATAGAAAAGTCACATCAATGTTACTGGGATTTGAGAGGAGTTTGTGAGTATAGCTGGATAGGGCACTGTGCAAACATAAGGAAAGAAAGTGATGGTTCTGTTTGGTTTTTTTTCTCCTTCAATCTGGTAATGATTTTGGTAAGATAAAAAAAAAAAATCAGCTTGGCTGCAAATTAAAAACTTATTAGAAGCTTATGGAAAAAAGTATGATTGGAAGAAAGGGCAACTCAACCAGAAGCTGAGCTTATATGTGACTGAAATACAGAGAAAATAAGACAGGAAATTATATGAAATAACCAATCAAAGGACAAAAAAGAATGAAGCAAGTCATCCTTATTGTTCCACCTTGTATCACTTTGCTGCTGCCAGCTGAGTTTCTGGCTGAACTTTACCAACTTTTCCTTCCTACTGAGACTCAACCTTCTGTATGAGATCTGCCTGAGCATGTGGTGCATTTTTTCCTCAGAACTCCTGAGTAATTTCTGTGGGGATCCATATTGAAAACTTTTTAAAGGAATGACAATATAATGAACGTAACTCTTAAAAGTACATCTCTAATACTGTAATATTCTTCATCTATCAAGTTGCTATAGTTACAAGGGCATAACTTGGTTATGAATTGGAGAGCAGTCGAAGGTGGGAAAAGAGATTGTTCTTGATCTCTGCAATGGAGAGGTAAAGAGGTGTACACTGGGAGAAAAACTAAGAATCATTTTCCTAACATTCTCATGACACAGAATATCCTTTTCAGAGTGTCCTGACGAAAGTAATTATGTATTCAGTACATATACTATGTTTTCTGCTGTCATGATATATGTACTTCTATGTAAAATCTGACCTCCAACTTAGTTTGACTGTCAGTGATACAGATTAAATGATTTGCAAGAAAACCTTCCTTTTCTTTTATAGGCTGTTTTAGCCTGTTTTGTTCCTTAGATCCCTGATGATCTTGAAGGGAAGGAGGAGGAGATTCATAGCAAGCCTTGCAGTCCTTGGAAAACTTTTTTTCCCCCCTTAATTATGTTAATGGTTTCCTAAATCCTTTCTGATTAAACTTCTAGGAGATCATTCAGAAAGCTCTGAAAGAAGCTGACTGTCCACACTGAGTGACCCTTTCTGTTCTGACCTTTGTCCAGGGATGGAAAAGTTATTTAATATAGAAATATAATAATAATATAATCTAATAATATAATATAGTAATAGCAAATATATAAAATATATTTTTCTACTTTGGTAATAATGATGGCTTTATAACTGTCATCAAATAACTGATAGATTCATAGTGGTATTGCATCGTGTTATGCTATCGAATTACTCTGGAATGAGTAACAGTTGTTAGAGGAGAAAGATATAATTCATGTTTCAAAAGGTTTTGAATAGTTGTGATTAAAGAATGGATAAAAAAATTGACTTTTCTGTGTTTTCACTCGCTGTAATTGCTGACATTTCAATAGCTTTGAAACAGATTTAAGGACTTGCTTTGCATCCTGATATGATGCAGGCTTAATAAATGTGACAAACCTCAAAGAAGGACAAAGAAAAGATGGAGGCATAATAACAGGCTTGGGAGGCTGAAAAAAGAGAATGATGATAAAATGCCTTCCTCCCCCTCCCCTCCACATTTTGGTTGAGGAGGAAGTAATGGGGTTAGACTGCCACAAGAAAGACTAAGATGGAATACAAGGAAGATTTTCTACTGGGTAAACTGTAAAACAGATTGCCTAAAGATGTTATGGAATCGGTATTATCACACTATATTTCTCGTTTTTTCAAACATCTCTAGCTTTGGAGGGGGCAGTGGTGTAGCTGATTCCACGTCTTGCTCCAGCTCTAGTATGCAATAGAGTTTTGGGAGTCTGAGATGTAGAAAGCAGGGATTTACTAAGGGAAGATAAAGTATTCCAATTATATAAGAAAATGATCTATATTTAGCTAAATGGCTATGGATATTTACCATTTATGAGTCCTTAAAGTTACCAAGATGTTACTAAGTTTCATACTACTTATTTTTAAATCTGTAGCATTTTTGTTATTGTGGAGTTAAAAAACTTTCCATCTAATGCAGATTTACTCTGTAACTGGCCCTCTAGTTTACTTTTGTGTCAGAAGGGTGGTATGCTGGTTGCTGATGAGCAATAATTTGACAATGAGTATATTTTTTATAAATAATTATAGTTCTCTTTCTTCTTAAAATAACCATTCCTAATACCAATTACTCATTTAAAGTCTGTTACTTGAAGTCTCTTTCCAATACAGAGAATGAGAGTTAGAGTTTGTATTCTGGGTGTAAAAATGAACTTTATATTCAGTAGGCCTAAGATGTGCCTTGCAGTAAAGATGTATGTGCTCCTTCAGTTCTTTGACATTTCACTGTACCAATATATAGTTTGAATTATTTTATATTTGATTCATTGCTGCATTCTTTACAAAAACCAGTAATACATTGCAGAAGCGTTTTAGGAAGCTAAAGGAAGTTCTATGATTGTAATTTATTACAGATATCCGTTCTTATACTAATTAAAAATGGTGTCAGGTAGCCTGTGGTTTCAAATAGGTCGCCATGATAGAAAATGAATTTAATTTCTTACCATAAATTATGAAATATTTTTAGTTGTACAAAATAACTTGCATTCCTTCTTGGAAATTAGTGATAGTGCACAAATTAGGAAGTCCAAACCCTGTGCACCCCCCTAAGATTTGTAATCTAAAACCCCAGCATGGCAAAAAAAAGTATGAAGCAATAGCACCATGTAAAGTTAAAGAATCCTTTTTAGGAGTTATCTCGGTGTACAAGAGGGAAGGCAGAGGTGAGTTCTGACCATGAGGGAACGCTCCAGCAAGAGACAGTTGGGGGTTCCAGACCAGACAGATCCATGAGCAGCCCTTGGAGTTGTAAATGCAGTGCTGTCAGTGTGTGACAGAAATATCTAAGGACTCAAAAACTCTCCAGTGAGCAGAATAAGCCCCACTCACACTCTGTTGAAGTGTAGCTTAAACAAGAGATGGACAACTCAGCCTCAAGTGTTTCTGAGCAGGAGAAGCTGTAGAGAAATGAGACACCTGGGAAGCCTTTTAGCTTGAGGTGTTGTAGACTTTGAAGGCAGATATTCCAGATCACTTTGATTAATTTTTTTTTTTTTCTAAATTTTGCTTGAGTCCCATTTGAGGTACAATTTGGGAGGCATACTATCAAAATTCAGTGATAGAAAATTCCTCATTAAAAAAATATTAATTTATTTTGGAAACAAACTGGCTTTGTAGATGGGAGCAGGTCCTGGCCAGCTGTCTTGGTGGCTCTTCTGAGTGTTTTGTTTTCTTCAAGGTCGTATTCTGTTATGTACTGCATGTCTGGGAAATACGTAGTTTTTAAATAGAATTTCTATTGAAATTCTAATAGAAAAACAGAGTTATGTGTGTACTACAGACTGCTGCATAAAACACCAGGATAAAACACTTACGGGAAGATTGCTTGGAACAATTTTGTGTCATCTTAGTAACATATTTTAGCATTGTTTTCAAACTTATTAATCATCTACTTATTTGTCAGTGTTAAAAAAAAATCGCTCTAGCTGCTTATCCTCTTGTCATTTTCTTTATGCATATTATTTTCAAAAAATTATTCTTAACATTTATGAGATGCCAGGAAAAGAATTCTTTACGGTAACTTTTAGTACACACAATGAATGTATAATACATTTAATATTTGAAAGCATCTGTCTCTGTAGGAGCATGTCTTTTGTGGGGTCATTGTGGAACTTGGTACTTTTCACCTGTATTTATATACATGTGTGTCCATACATCTACACATACTCCTCTTTGAATGCCTTCCACATAAACTTTGACATCTTTGCATTAACCATCAATCTGCATGTGCCTCAAGAGACTAAAAAGAAATCAGATGGGTATATTGGGGATTTTCATGTTGCTTAAAAGAATAAAAAAAATGACGCTCACTAGTGACTTG